TGTCTGTCTCTGCTCTCTCGTTGTTACAGTCTCCGCCATGGTGGTTTATCACTCCCCTAGAGATAGTTACTTTACGGATAATCGGTTATCGGTATCGACCAAAATTTTTATATCGGTGCATCCCTAAAAAAATGTATGTTTTTCAGAAAATTCTAAATGGCAAAAATTGTTTTCCTTAATTGGCCTGTATTTATGTATTTACCACTGCTCGGAAAAAATGCCATACAGGTCCGGCTCCATTCAGACTCCCAGTTTTTAATATCGCGTGTTTATGCTCTGAAGTACCTATGGAGAAAATGAATGGCCAGTGCTCTGGAATCAATGCTGCTGGAACAGTCACTATCCAGACAGAGAGCGTGACGGAGGAGGATCGATGGACAGCTGCGCCAAAACACCCTGACAGGTCAATAATATCATCAACAATCTGTCACCAGGCAAACCCTCTTCAAATGATCTCTTATATAGAGCAAAGCCATCAGTGTCTGAATCCTTTAAATGAAGTTCCCTGCAGCAAAAGGCCAACGGATCTGAAAAGAATGATTTCTGAACATGGTCCATTGCACAACCTCTTAAGAACCAAATGAACAACAGTACTGACCTAGTTTGCAGTGTTTAGCATATTTAGCCCAAACACACGGGTAGACAAACCCGGACACGACTGGAGTGTGTGTTTCTGTGGGTCTGAGATCCCCATCAGCGACGCCACATTCCTGCAGCTACAGATGCTTATCGACAGAGCAAACACACACACACTGAGAAACTGCAGCTGACATGTTTTAAGTCAGGCTGAAGCTTTCAAATGCATTCGAAGAGGTGTTCAAGTCATCTGAACGTCTTTACAGGGCTCAATGATAAAAACCCGAAGCCTACTAACCCAGGCTAAAGAACGAGATAACAGTTACTAGACATACAGATACTAGTCCAACAACCCTTCACTAAATAAACATCGGAGATGTTCACACTGAACACTTCCAGTCACAAACACTGTATGTCCCTTCAGATCTGAACAGAAGCATTATGTGAGCCATTGTTATAGTTATCAAACACCAAATATAAACCACAGCCAAAAGCAACCAACCTACTCATGAAAAGCTACTTTGACATTCAATTTGTAATAAAACAAATTCCATGTTTCCCAGGCCACTGGGAGCTTGAGATTTTTGCATTTGTGGTTTCAGTTTGTCCATAAAGATTCATTGAATATTTTCATACGTGATGAAATAATGAAGGGCTTTCAAACCTTTGCAGGTTTTACCTACAAGCCCCACACCGATGACTCAAGCTTCACAATCTGTCTGCTCTTTTACAACAGACCTGTTTTGGACCCGTGACTCGATTCAACATCAATAATGAACAAATATCTGTATGACTAACAACCATTAAAGAGGGACTGAAACCTAAACGAAACACTGGCAAGGTATGCATGGCATAGACTGTAAATACAGCACCGTTGATCAGTCAGTGAGCACCAGGTAACCTTACTGTGCAATATTTCATTGTGTAAAATCTTATTCATCATGGTCAAGATGTCAACTACACTACCTCAGCACTTGTCACTACCTGCTTAATTGCACATAATGTTTGCATTTATGCTGTCTTATGTTATGTGTCTTATGTTATGTGTACTGTGTTGCATAGCATATTGTGTATATTGTATATTGCATTGTGTATAGTGCATTGTATTGAATACGTACTATGTACATTGTATATTATATTGTATAATGGTCGATCCTTTAGTGTATAATATGTGTGTGCAGATTCGTACATGGTACACCACTATTTGTAAGAATCAAGATTCAAGAAGGCGCCTGGAGGTTGCTCCACCAGAGTTTTCATTGTTGTAAGCATGTTTCCTTCCCCGTATAATGTGGCGCACCCACAAACGTTCATTGTGAATCGACATTCTCCTCCAGGTTAACTTCAAAAGCCAACGCAAGAGCCAACTTTTTACTCGTTCTCGACATTTCTGCAGCACACAGCACTAGGCTACTGATGCAGCTGTTGTTATAGCAACAAAAGAAGCCCTCGGCTGCTGTTTGTAACCAAAACACTGCCAGCTTTTTGTTTTACTAAAAAAGCGCTCGTCAACATTTTCTTGTCAAAAAAGAGGCCAAGTGTGAACAGGCCCTTAAACTAGTGCTGCACGATTAATCGAATGCGATTGTCATGCGTATCTGGTCAGTAAAGCCGGTTCTGTGATCAGCAGTAAATCTCCATCACCTGCTTTCAGATGGAGCAGCATTTACTACACAGAGCCGTAGTTCACTGACAAGATGTGCATGGCTATCACAGCTTTTGCCTAATCGCGATTGCATTTCGATTTATCGTGCAGCCCTACCGTAAACCGTTTGTTTTTCAGCAGAGATCACACACTGATCATCGAGAACATGTGGAAACACACCTGAAGTTCACACCAGGCCACCTCCACCCAGGTGTCCGTGTCCAGGCCCTTGTAGACCGTCTTGAAGGAGCCGCGGCCGATCTCGATGTCAAACTTGAGAAAGCGTCCGCCGGGAGAGGTGGCCACGGCCTTCATCTCAGCCTCCTCCTCGTTCTCCTCGCTGGCCGCCTTTACGTGAGTCTTCACGCTGTCCGCTCTGAGCTCCGTTCGCTCCTCGTCTGCACTGCCGATCTCCAGCTCTTTCTGGGCCTTCTGGCTCTCCGTGCTCGATCCCTCCTGTAAACCGGATCGGACGGCCAGAGTTCGGTCCACAATGGTCCTCAGGTTGATGCTGAGCATCTTATTCTGCTCCTCGCACTCCGGGTTGCAGTCGTCGGCCTGGGGCTCGTCATTATCGGTGAACCACAGGCTCCTGCGGATGAACCTCTGGCGTTTGGAGGAGGGATAGGAGCTAGGGTCGCTGCCGGCGCGCACCAGCGCTGAGCTCTCCAGCTTATTCACGTTCCCCTCGCTGATGGTCTCGTAGATGTTGAGCTGCAGCTCGCACTGAGAGTTGGGCACGGATGAGGCGCAGCAGTCGGGTTTGGGCTCCATGGTTTGAATCAGTCACACGTTTGTGCCGCTCAAGATCGAACCGCAGGGGAGCGGCAGCACTGACGCATTTTCCCAAACATCAGCGATAACACGTCCATCTGTGGGAACAACATATTCATCACAACGGCATTCAAGAATCATATTCAGTTTCAGGTTACACCAGGACTGCTAATAATAAATCTTCATTTCTGTCTGCATGGAATAACCTGCCACATTCGACAACAGAAAGCACCACATGCACACAGGTGTCATTTTTTAATTTTGACACCAGTGCAAATGTCCTCTAGTTTCAAATAAATTAGTCTGGTTGTGGGTTGGTGAAATAAATAAAAAAAATGTGTAGGCCTATGTAAATGTACATATTTTCTCCACTTTAAACTAAGCTTGTATGCATATTTGGTTTTATCATTAAATAAGCACACGTTTGCATATTATATAAGCAGAAGGCACATAAAACGACACATCTTTTACGAGTTTCTTAATTTAATGCACAATCACGCGGTAGGTCATTGTCAAAAATAATTAAATAAACCCTTATAAAACAATTTATGCACGAGCATTGAGCATGTTTTCACCTCTTTTTGCAAAAGTGCAAAAAAAACAAACCCGAAATTATCAGGAAAAACATTCAGTATCATTATTATTATTTTTTCAAACGAGGTGCTATGAAACATGATACATACTTATAGCATGGCCAAATGTCACTTTAAGAGTTTGGCCTCTAAATGCTAACCAATGCTGATCTAATCGACGAAGGCTTAATAATAACAATTTATAAAGACGCTAGTTTTTGTTTAGAAAATATTGCGGCTACGTCAGAATTGCTAAATGCTTCACAATCCCTCGTTAAAGCCTGCGATATCTACCGAGTAACACGGCGTGCAAACGAATGAATGCTTGAAGCGATGATGAAGAGGATGATGAGCGCGAGCTACCGCGGGTGCCACAGCTCTGATGTCCTCCGTCATGTGCTACGAACATAAAGCAGCGACGATGGGTGGCTCACATGAGAAAGCTCGCTTTGACGGTGGCAGGTCTTCAGAGCAGCGGCGGTGTTTAACGCGACAGCGGGCGGCAGAGAAGACGCGCTGGCCACCGGTAAAACACACACGATAAATCACGCGCTGCGCATTTGCAGGAGTGTGCCTCGAAGCTCAGCCGCATCTCATTCAGTTGACTGCATCTTCTGAACGCTGCTCCTTCACGCCCAGCGCCGCTGCTCCAATCACAGGATCATTCCCTGCATCCCTCTGCCTCCTCCTCACCTCTCACTCCACATCACAGCATGAGCAGGCCAAGCGAAACAGAAGGAGATATTTCGCAGGATTTCCAAGCAGCTCTTTTCCACACAGCAACAGCAAGAAGGGAACAGATCCTTAAAAGTATGCATGCAACCTCATCAAAATCATCAAGAGAGCAATGATACGCAAGTGCTATAACAAGTCTCAGTTAGCTTAACGCAGTACACGTAGCGAGGTTTTTTTAAATTCTATAATAAATAAAAATAAAACAAATTGACAGAATATAAAAAGAACAGAGAAGCTAGTGTTCGTTTTTTTAAGAGAAACAAGCAGTTAGTAAATGAATAAAGTGCAAGTCTAAAAGGGGCAGTTTTTTTTAAAGAATAATTAGAATAGAGAGTGCTAGAGTTAGAGGGTCAAATAAAGATGGAGGAGATGTGCTTTTAGCAGATTCTTGAAGATGGCTAAGGAGTTAGCTGCTCAGATTGAGTTGGGCAGGTCATTCCACCAGGAGGGAACAGTTAATGTAAAAGTCTGTGAAAGTGATTTTGTGCCTCTTTGGGATGAACAATTTAATGTGAGCAGCTATTGGTAGCCACTGCAAATTGATAAAGTATTAGCGGAAATTAAATCCATTTTTATATTTATTATTATTATTATTCAATTAAATTATTAATTGATTATTATGACTGGAACTTGTTTGTCACACAAAGGCCTGGTTTCACAGACAGGGCTTTGCACACTGAGTCTGAAATTCTCGTCCAAAATTTTCCCACATTACAAAATAAATACAATTTCATGCTGTGTCAAACATGTTTACACACTGCCTCTGAAAGTTTCTTCCGTCATAAAAAAAATCGGATCAGGTTACATTTTCTATGTTTTTAGATCCGTAGCAAGCATTTTGATAGGAACGGATGAAGAATACGAAAAAACGCATACGAAAATTCCGGACGCAGTGTGCAAGGACCTTAAGCCAGGATTAGGCCATAGATCAATTAGGAGATTTAAGTCATCTTTATAAACATGCCTTAGAAAAAAACATTACTGGTGTGCATCTTGAGACAAAACAAAGGCACTGATAGATCAGTCAGTGCAAGTTTCTTTCAGTTGAAACAGCTCAGACTTAGATTTTAGTCTGCGACTAGGCTTAAGCCTTGTCTGTGAAACCGGGGCAAAGCTGTTTGCTTGTTAAGTCGTGACAGAAGGAATTCTGGTTCCGTGGCCAAGCCTCTACTCATTTCCCTTTCTATCAATATTTTAAACATTCATAAAAGATGAATCATTGTCTGACCGTCTGAGATTTGGGTATGGACATAAAGGTCAGGACACTGTGTAGAGAAGCCACGAAGTAAAAGATGGTTGCATGCGTGGAATTTATCTCACAATTCTGACTGTTCTTCTCATTCGACAAAGAATTCAGACTGAATCTCTTTTGATTCAGAGTTTATATATCATAAGTGTTTTTTAACATGAAATAAAGGTAATTGCAAGTTTGTATCTCACAACTCTATATATATAAAAGTCTGATTTGTGAGATATAAAATCAGAATTGCAAGGGAAAAAATCTGATTTGTGAGATAAATTGTCGCAATTAACTTCTTTTTTTAATCCTGGGGTGGAAACAAGCTTGCATGAGTGTATATTAGCACTGTTTGTTTGTTTTTGGCATCTGATTTCAGTTTGGAGCCGTGATGTCAGGCTTAATGAGCAGATTGTATGACCTCAGAAATAGTGTGTGTTTTTTCCCCTGTTTGGCAGCTCCTGTTTATACTCAATGGAAAAGAGCAGCTCTGGCATTTTGCTAAAGTGGTATGGGTTTGGAACACGATGAGACTGAGTAAATGGAGACAGTACTGTTCTTTTTTCATGAAAGAAGGAAGAGGAATCATCAGAATGTTCAAAACAAGATTTCAGTGTCTCAAAAAGCATTCCAAGGGTTCCTTCATTCAAGATAAGAAAGGAAAAGAAAACAAGATTAGAGTATATTTATATTTATAATGTATTACAGAGTAAAGCCTGAAGGTGTGTTATTGAATTTCCTTCATGTGTAACACAACCCCCAGTTGGACAATAAAAGGTTTGGCTCGGATATTCACAGTGAAATTTGAGTCGTGGCACTTTCTATTTCTCTACATCTACAGGCAAGACTTGTGCCTTTTAAAATAAACAAGACAAATAGAATATATTTGTAGCCAAGCAATATTTGCCCCAAAATTGCTATTTGCATATGCATTTTTATGAATATTTAAGTTAAGATAATTGTAATTATTCTCTTTACTGGGCAAATGTAATACAAGAAGTAAGAGTTATAACCAGTATGCAGTGTATAAGAAGTAATAAATGCAGTGTGGAATTCAAATAGTCCAGACTGTGAATGCGTGAGTGAGCAACGACGTAAATACTGGATGAGTGTAAACAAGACATGATAGATCATATACCAACCCAAATAACAGAGGACCTCTTCCCATCGGTCCCTGCATCCGCTCAGAAATATTGCTGAGGTCTGAGGTCTGGAGTGAGGACACAGAAGCACAGGAGAACAGCCCAGTGTCAGCGATGGCGGCAGACACTACTGAATTAAACACGGCCGCAGGTCCTGGACTGCAGGTGGGTCACACAGACGCTAAACCTGCTAGCACACAATCCAAGTCTTTCATGGTTTATTCAGTAGTATTTCTAGAGCTGTTAGCGTATATCACTGACTGCTTAATCAGACTTATAACTGCTGCTTTATAGGCCTTCCTTTTTGTGCTGTTGCTCTCCTTAAGTGATAAAATGGGTGAAAAACTCCCATAGACAGCCAGAGCAACTGAGACCAGAAACAGACAGATCAACAAATGACAGAATCAAACATTTGTAAGAGACCTGTGAGCCAGAATTTCTCTCATGATATTCATTTATTGCAATATGATAATGTCCATCTCAGGCCTCAAAGAGCAGGAATGCAGGAATATCCTATGAAAGTACACAACTGCAACTGTCCTTACATGTGCTCGAGTTTCTATGTAAAAGAGCTTCTCTGAATAAACACAAGGAAGTGACGTTTGCATGAGTGAATGAGTGTGTGAGTGAGTGAATGAGTGAGTGTGTGCGTTTTTGTGACAAATGAGGACATAAATTTGTATAATGACAAAGGTATAACATAGGTATTACAAGGAGAAGGTGACTTTTCAGGACATTACCCCATGTCCCCACTTTTCAAAACGCTTATAAATCACACAGAATGGAGAAAGTCTCCTGTGAGGGGTAGGTTTAGGGGTAGGGTTGGTGTAGGGCAATAGAATATACGGTCTGTACAGTATAAAAACCATTACGCCTATGGGATGTCCCCACGTTTCACAAAAACATACCTGTGTGTGTGTGAGTGTGAGTGTGTGTGAGTGTGTGTGTGCGTGGTGTGTGTGTGTGTATGTGTGTGTGTGTGTGTGTGTGTGTGTGTGTGTGTGTGAGTGCGTGTGAGTGTTGGTGCGTGTTTGTGTCTGTGTGTGTGTGTGTGTGTGTGTGTGTGTGTGTGTGTGTGTGTGTGTGTGTGTGTGCACGTGCGTGCATGTGTAAGCAGTGTAACTAAAAGCTCTGTAGAGAATCAGGGAAATGTAATTTCCTTATGGTGGATCGATGAGCCGCTGGAGCGCAGCCATCCTGAGATCAACAGCATGAGAGAGAGTGAAGAGTGGTGTCTTGTCATTACGATTGCACAGTCAGCAGAGGAATACTGATAGGAAGGATGGAAGAAGAGGGACAGAAGGAAGGAAGGAAGGAAGGAAGGATATCAGCAAGAGTACAATTTAAAGCAACAGTTAACCCAAAAAATTACAATTTGCTAAAAATATTGTCTCCCTCAGACAATCCAAGATGTAGATGAGGATGTTTCTTCATCAGATCTGGAGAAATGTAGCACTGCATCAGTGTCTCAGCAATGGATGCTCTGCAGTGAATGGGTGCCGTCAGAATGAGAGTCAAAACAGCTGATAAAAACATCACAATAATCCACAAGTAATCCACAGCACTCCAGTCCATCAGTTAACATCTGGAGAAGACAAAAGCTGAAACAAATCCAGCATTAAGATGTTTTTAGCTTCCAGCTAAAATACGAGTCTATATATATATATATATATACACACACACACACACACACAGTTGTGCTCATAAGTTTACATACCCCTTGCGGAATATGCAAATATGTTAATAATTTTAACAAAATAAGAGAGCTCAATGAAAATGGCATGATATTTTTTATTTAGTACTGTCCTGAATAAGCAATTTCATATAACAGATGTTTATATATACTCCACAAGAAAAAAATTATCTGAATTTATATAAATGACCCAGTTTAAAAGTTGACATACTCTTGAATCTTAATACTATGTGTTATTTCCTTGATGATCCACGACTGTTTTTTTGTTTAGTGATAGTTGTTCATGAGTCCCTTGTTTGTCTTGAACAGTTAAGCTGCCTGCTGTTCTTCAGAAAAATCCCCGGCTCCTGCACATTCTTTGGTTTTCTAGCATCTTCTGCATATTTGAACCTTTTCCAAAAGAGACTGTATGATTTTGAGATCCATCTTTTCACACTGAGGACAACTGAGGGACTCATATGCAACTATTACAGAAGGTTCAAACGCTCGCTGATGCTCCAGAAGGAAAAACCATGCATTAAGAGCCGTGGGGTGAAAACTTTTTGAATTTGAAGATCAGAGTAAATGTAACTTATTTTGTCTTCTGAGAAACATGTAACTATCTTCTGTATCCTCTGAAGGGCAGTACTAAACGAAAAAAATATCATATTTAAGCAAAATAAGAGAAATGTACACATCTTCATTCTGTTCACAAGTGTTCTTAACTTCTGTAATAGTTGCATACGAGTCCCTCAGTTGTCCTCAGTGTGAAAAGATGGATCTCAAAATCATACAGTCGTTGTTGGAAAAATACACACAGTATCACTTAAGACTCAAGCCTATGTAAACTTTTGAACGGGGTCATTTTTATAAATTCAGTTATTATTTTTTCTTGTGGA